AGAGGACTTTGAGAAAATATATACTTGCAGGAGGTTTATAATATTTTCCAAAAAGGATTCTGTAATGATCTAAATTGGAATCTCATACACACATGTACTACCCTAAGTTGTATAAACACTTTATACTCATTGAAGTCAATTTTACTTTTATTAGTCTGTTATTCATAATTGATCTTGTATGAAGTTGGATCATATATAATTGTCTGTTTGGTTGCCCAAATTAGAGTTCATGCTGAAATGTTAAATTAATTACACCTGAATACATGATTTAAGCAAAATTTTTAATTTTTCCCAATTTCATCAAAAAGCCGATAATTTTTTCCCAATTCCCCAAAAATGGCGTTTCCCAAAATAGGCTGATAAATCCCTGTGATGAGCAAAGTTATGGTTCCAGGGTCAGAAGCTCTGGTGTTGGGGGGGGGGGCTCTATTGATAATATAGTGAATCTGTAGTAAAAATGCATTATTCCTTAAAAAATCTACTCCGCACCTGGGCATATCTGAGGCAAATAGAGTAAAAAATTTTATAAGGAAGGGAATTTTTACCAGATTTTTGAACATCTGGACCATTTGGTCAAGTGTTCTGGTCCTGGCCAGGGCTCTATTAGTTTGTATTCTACTGAGAGGAGTTATTCCCCTTTGCCATTTAGTTTTGATAATTTATCACTGTAAATAATGTACTTGAAAGGTAAATAGAATAAGAGAATTATGCAAAAACTTTAATTGTATAATACAAAAAGTACTTTCATTGTTTTAATGATCAGATAGACTTGTAAGTAGTAGATAAATAAAAATGAGACAAAAATAATTTGTCTTATGAAATGTTCATCAAAGACCAAGAGAGGCCAATGTAAGAGATTTCAACAAGGGATTAAAATAGTACAGAAGCACTGATAATTTGTTAATATACTGTATGGTAATAGTGATAAATGGGGAACACATTAGAACCTAATTTATGAACTGTTAATGAATATTAAGACCAATTATTTTGTTGATCATGATCACCCTATTTTTTTTTTCTTTTGGGCAACAAAGTTTCACCTTTCAGTTTATTCTATACTCTATGCATCCTTTAATTTATTGTATCATACTCAGGTGACCGTTAAGGCCCTTGGGCCTCTTGTTGTAATTATGTATACAACATTGTTTGTCAGTGTTTTTTTAAGAGTTGTATGCAGCTTTGTTTGAAAGAATTTGTAGTTACATAAACACCTGTATTTTATATAAGGATATTATATTCCACGATTCTATAAATCTATTTACTTTGTTTTATCTATAGGGTACCTATGTACCATGGGGACCTGGTGTCGTATTCGGCTCTCTGTCACTCCTTGTAACGATTTTGTTCTTATGGTTACCCGAAACGACTGGGAAAGAACTCCCTAATACTCTCCAGGAAGCCATTAGTTTCCATGCCCCGAAAGACAAAAAGAAAAAGAAGACAGTAATTTCTTTAAATGAAAACACCTAATAGAGAACACATAATATATTTCATATTTAAAGTTGTTGCCCCCCCCCCCCCAAAAAAAAAAAATTAAATCAAATAAATAAAATGTCATTATAAAAATACTCTTAATCCTACATTTATTTTTAACAAACGCTTGCTATTGCATAGATGAGTACAATAAAGAGGAGGGAAACTCACTTGTTTGTAATCATCTAGAGAAGGGAAATACAGTAATGTACTTACATAATACAAAAGTGATACTATATGTCAGCATCTAATTTGTAAACAAAACTTGATTAGTTAAAAATAAACTGTTATGAATTGCTTCTCTAGAATCCTGACTACTAACAATAAAACTAAATGAAACTTTCTACCATTAACAAATATACAGACAAACAACAAACACATGTAAAATATACTGAAAACTAGCCTACAGAATGGGACAAACACAACATTTCACCCTTTTCTCGTACCACCGGTTTCAGACGAAACTTCTGAAATTCATCATATATGGGAATGTCCATGTTGACTAAAACTGTGGGAGTGACCTAGCGCCTCTTTCTCTACCATGAGTCTACCATAAGTCTCTGTCGTACTGACCAAACCAGTTTATATATTTTATTTATATACACACACTCAAAACTATGGAACTACATTAGGACCAGAACAACATACAAACAAAAACAAATCAAACATAATGTAGCTTAACAAAAGAAATATTACCGGTCATGGTAGCCTAGTGGTAGGGCGCTCGCTTCGTGATCAGGAGGCCCGGATTCGGTTCTCGTTCACCGCTCCTCGTCAAACCTAAGACGTAAACATATGTATTGACTGTTCCTTCGCAAAGCGCCCGGCACTAGAAGTGAGACGGTAGGCGTTGTCACGATAAAGAACCCTTACTGCCCAATGGCCCTGAGTGCAGAGTATAGGTCTAAATTTGAAGCCCTTCATCGGCATACGGTGACGTCTCTATATGAGTGAAAAGTTCTTGAATAGAACGTTAAACAATATGCAATCAATCAAAAGAAATATTCTGGTATACCATAAGTATATCTATAGCCATTCAGTTTGACTAAAACAGGTCATTTTCCACGAACCTTTTGGACAACCCTCGTATGCACACAGTAAAGTCCTCCTCAATAATGTTACCCGACTATTTATCATGTTACTGTTTGTCGAAAAAAAATTCTTAGTTTTTCTTTTCAAGAGAGAAAAAATAAGAGTAAAACATAAAAAAATATGAAGATGAAGAAGTGATTGATATTAAAAAAACAATATCAAACAATACAAATATGTGAACATTTCATAAAAAAACGGACCCTCGGAAATTCCAAAGGTGGGATCAGGTGCCTAGGAGGAGTAAACATCCCCTGTCGAACAGTCACATCCCCTGTGAACCTTATGTATTTATCAGGTAGACAGATTATTCTGTAGTCAAATTTAGTAAAAATACAAGGGCCTAGCAATTGATATGAAATATGTCAAACAAACTACGATCCAATGATAGGTCATATTTTCTATAGAAATAAAATACTTCGAATCCCCAATATTCATCAATTTTCATTTCAGATATTTAGGGAACACCATTTTTGTCCGTTTTTAGATCGTTTATTCAATTCCATGAAATATATTAAAAAGTAATTGTTAAAAAAGACGTCTGAAAGGGGAAAGGATGTGCCTTCTTGCCGCAATTCATAGTTTCACTTTGAAAAACTGGCGTAGATTTTGAAAACCGTAAAATAATCCAGTGAGATACAAAATAAATCCAGGCTACTTGTTTGTAAATGGTACAAATTTCCAGAGAGATGGAAAATACATATAAGGCCCTTTTACGGTTCGGGTGTTTGAACTGTCAGTCAAGTTGAAAAAAAATTGCATGAGTATAATAGAAATTGAACTCCAAGAAGCAAATTCAGCTGCCAAAGTCAAGTAAGGATCTTTTTTCTTTCATGTGGACCCATTTTCTAATACTGTGTTTGAAATCATCTGTACATGAAATTTTAAAGTCATATTAACAATAAGTTTCATTAAGAATTTAACACCAATGTATCTCGTTAATAAAATTGTATGGAGTGTATTTAGGCCAAAAAAAAAGAATCCCATTTAGAAGCATTGCCGTTGTTGAACGTCATGAAACTGAACGACCACAATTTAAACGTATCGTGAATGTTCACATCTGTTAATTAACATTACAGATTGCTATTACTTCTTTCTATAATTATTAATGATTGAAAAAATATCAGAATTCGAATAAGTCAAGTATCAACCATTCCGAAAAAAAGGAAAAAAAAAACTTTTTGGAAGGCTTTCCTGCAAATGAAGCATGCAGGGTCTATGAGAAGCTTATACTAGGGGAGACATAAGCAATTAAACACTTTCTTTCGTTGTAAGTATGGGGATTGATGTTGCAGCTGTTGTACGTGTAGCCCCCCCCCCCCCAAAAAAAAACATAACTAGCGTGCGCGTGTCATGTTATTTTTTTTTCTGCAATACTGAAATTCCCGTACTAACAAAGACATTTTATTGTTTATATTAATGTCTATATTTAATTGTTTATATTTTATTGTTTATATTATTGTCTATATTTTATTGTTTAGATTAATGTCTATATTTTATTGTTTATATTAATGTCTATATTTTATTGGTTATATTAATGTCTATATAAACATTCATATAAAGTAGGATTAAGTACGTTACATATTGCATTATTGATATTTACGTCACTGTATGTTTCACTGATGGAAGAACCAACGATCAAGAAATCTATCAATGAGGCTTGCTTTGCGGAGTTAAAGTACTGAAAATAACCGTGGTTTTCATTTAAATAACAGGAGAATATATTCAGTGGGTGTAAATATATCGCATGTCAGGGTCTATAAGAAGGTGAAGGTGAGTACAAAAAGGATTAGGCAAGGTGCTCTATAGAATTGAATTTAAATGTTTTTTGTCATAACCAGCTGACCTGTTTATTTCTTGTGTTGTTAGGTTTGAAAATCGCAGTAGTAGCAGATTGATTTGTATGCAAATACCTTAGAAGAAAGTTAAATCATAATGTCAGAAATTTTTTTTTCGTACAAAATAAATCTTCTTTCTTTATTTTCATATATATATATATATTTTAATTCTTTTAATTAATTAATTTTTTTTTGTTTTGTTTGTTTGTTTTGATTTTATCTTTTTCTGAAGTAAATGACAGTTCTAAAGATTTTATATCCTATAGAAATAAAATCAATTGAAGTAGTCTATGTTAAGGGGGAGCTTACTCCTCCTTGGCACCTGATCCACCTCTGGAATTTCCATGGGTTCGTGTTTTATGCCAGATTTGTATCATGTATAGATTTCTGAGAATATATTCACCTTTTTCATTAACTAAATAAATCTCTTTTTCAACGAAGATCTTTGAGGTTTGATCTTTGAGATGTATGTAAAATGAGAAAAATTAAAACACGAGAGATAATAACCACAGGAACTTCCCTAGGAGAGGTCGGTAATCAGAGTGATGTCTTATCTCTGACAAAGATAAATATTACAACATTTCCAAAGTCCGTAGAAGAACATGTGTGTCATAAATATTGCGGTGTTATTTGCATGTATATGTGTAAATGATGGTTTGTTACTGAATGACCCTTCGGCCATCGAACAACGGCTAGCTCACATGGAATCTCTGGTTCAAGGACTCTCACAGGACGTCAACACTTTGAGAACTGAAAATGCAGACCTGAAATCTAAAATTACCGCAGGTAAATTTGAAACTGTTTCAATACACAAACTTTGTATAAAGAATACACAAGAAGCTTGAATTTCCATTCACATCTGTTCCTAAAATTATCATTTTTGAATGAATAATTAAAGATAGAGAATTAGTAAATTCATAAACAATATTCTAAAATTGTAGGCTTGTAGGAAACACAAAGACGTATATTTATCTTGTACTAGTCTCTAACTGATAGTATCTGTATTTCAACTATCCTGGAACTCTAAAAATGTAACTTGTGTGTATAGAAGTGTACACAATAAAGTTACATCTGATACAGTTTAATACAGATAATTACATTTATACATGTATTTAATTTCAATTCTTTTATGGTTGTAATAAGGGTAGAATTTTTCAGGAATTGCAAATAGTGATCTGAGATTTAAAACTAGTATTTGATTTGAATGATTTTTAATGCCAAAAATTATGAAAATATAACTAATTCTAAACTCCCTTAAACTTTTTTAGGGCAAAATTTGAATCACTGTAAAAAATTGGTCTTAAGCGGAAGTTAAAATTTAATTTTTGTTCATTACATAGCAAGAACTCCAGTGTATTTTTCGGCATACAAGAAGTCCCACCTGACCTTTACTTCAGCCTCCCAAGTAGATATTGTGTACGATGGTGTTCGAAGTAACTTCCACAACTGTTATAATCCATCTACTGGCCACTTCACCGCCCCTGGGAAAGGCTTTTACGTCTTTAGCTGGGAATCACTGACACCAGCTGGAAAAATATTTGATACCGAATTATTGGTCAATGGTGCAAGATATCAAATGAACAACTGTAACAATTTAGCAACAACTGCTTCCTTTTCAAGCTGCACCGGAGTCGTCCCTGTCCAGCTAGAGGCCGGGGACATTGTTAATATCAGAAGCACAAGTGGGACATATCTTTACGGTGACGGTTGGTCAACCTTCAGTGGCTGGCTCGTGTTTGAAATGTAACACTGAATAATTTAATGAAATAAATGTTTCCTTGAATCAGTGACCGAATTTTTCCAAGGCTTTCTTAAAGAGGTACTACATGTAATTTCAGCTACGCCTCGGGAAATTAACTTGCTCTCTGGGAACTGGAATCTTGCTGACTCCCTCAATGATATGCTTTAACTGTATATTAAGAATTAAATTCTCTCTCTCTCTCTCTCTCTCTCTCTCTCTCGCTCTCTCTCTCTCTGTGTGTGTGTGTGTGTGTGTGTTGAAAGGGATATATAAGGAAATGAAACAATTAAAAAAAAACTTCTTTATAAAAACGATGCATTTGTGAAGTCAAATGTAAGCATTTCAACATAGTGCTGAATGAAGTCGAGTATTGTTGTCAATTCATCATAAAAGACAGATCATTTTATTCGAAATATTTAATGAGACCAACATATCATCGCTGTGTTTATAATATACATCAAGTGAGCACATTGGCTCACGGGACTATTGATTTATAATTCTAATATTTTTAACCGAAAAAATATCCCTATTAAAATCTACAAGTGGTCATTATTTTATTGAGGTAATTATTCTTTATTTAGGGTATGGAGATTTTACGGGTGATGTCACTTTTTTCTACAGGCAAAAAGGGCCATTTTTTTCGAATTCGAATAATGACCATAAGTCATTTCCTGACGTCGAAAAATGACTCCATGTCATAATTCTACGAGGGTCATTATTTGTCTTTACACCAGCAAGCTCGGAAATGATTTTCCGAGTTTCCGAAAAGGTCCAAGAAGATATTGTTGCTACAAAACAGTAGGTAGCATCGGATTATTTCAAATTAAGTGTTCATTGCTTCATTAATCATTGAATTGAATTTTACACCTTAAAATTTCAATTACAGTGAACCTAAAAAACAAAAAGTATATTGATGCCATCAACGTCGTGAAATCTATTCTCTTTTTTGCCATTCTGAATTGATACCTACAGCGCACCACTGTATATTCTTACTAAGAATTAATCGATTCATCAAAATAAATCATTGGTTCAGATACTACTACTACTTCTGTGTTTTATACTGGGTACAGAGTTTGGAAAGAAATTTATATAAATTTCATTTTTAGTAACCATGGAAACCTAGATCAATGACATAAAACATACAGTGAGTTATTTGTTACTGTCGACTTGTTTATCTCAATCAAGTTTCATTGAAAGATGGAAAAACATTGTGAAAAATATTTATTGATATCAAAGCCATAAATTTATATGAATAAGCATTCAGAAGGAAATTCAGAGAAATTTCTATGGTCAATTAATAAAAAATGTTTACAGGATTCGGAAGTCTTAAGTCCTTGAAAAAAACATTACGAACAACTTTTTAGGTGAACATTTTGCCTTTGATCGTAGGACATGCCATGTTTCGAAATCAATGTCACTTGAACTGGCCACGCGTGGCATGTAGTAACCATTTATACAGCTATGGAAAATTTGACTACATAACAGAGCTCTTACTTCGTTCTTCGCGGAATTTATCAGTAAAAACTTCATTTCATTTTTCATTTACAGTATGGTTCTTAAAACTCCCCAAAAATGTTTAAGTAGCTCAGTCAGAAATGTATGTTTTTAATAGAGGTGGGATGATCCTTCGATGCTCTGATGTATGGTGATTTGAGGCTATACGATACTCATACTCCTAGAATTTGTATGAAGTGGTATTTGTTAAGGTAATCGGATCCTCATGTCCTGAATACCAGGTGTTGAATACTTGAGAATGCTCTCCAATATGTCTCTGATATCTCAAAGTTATGTCTATTTATCAACAGTAGGTCTTCAAAGCTCCTCATTATAGTAAATCAAATTATGTAGGGAACATTAGCTAATCTCAAAAATAATTTCAGCAAAGGAGAATAATTGCACCTGTTATGCATTTTCTAGATGAAAATCGTTCAGCAAATGTATTTTAGGATAAACAACTATAGGTATCAAGGCATTTTGTGAAAATTGCATGTATCGTTTTTATATCTCTTCAGTATTTTAGTTCTTCTATTATTCAGTTGATATATTTTATTCGTAATGTAAATTGCTTATGCTATCATTTCAAGACAAGTAGTAAGGGGGACAGAGAACAGTCAGTCTACAGTCAGGATGACGTCATGGGTTTTTCCCATAAAGGTCATATGAGGTCACAGTCAAGGGTGGAGTCTACAGTCAATGACGTCATGGGTTCCCTTAGTGCAAAGAGTGAGTCTACAGTCAAGGAGTCTACAGTCACTGACGTCATGGGGTTTTCCAAACATTAGAGGTCATACGATTTTACAGTCATGGGGAGTCTACAGTCACTGACATTTTTAAAAATTAAGAATAAATACCTTGTAAATCTCAGTTGCCTTGTAATAACGATGGCAACTCAGGGAAAGCAGTACAAATGGAAGATTTTAGCCTGGAATGCTTTAAGAAGAAATGAAAAGAAATGGACTTTACAAGAAAGTCAATGGTTTGACAGAAAGGAAGATTGCATTGTTGATTTCAAGGAAAAAATGAAAAATGGTTATGACGTTGCAGACAGCTGGGGATCTGAAGAATACATATTGAAACGTAGGGTTATGCCGAAAAAATACTTTCCACAGGTCTTAAGAGAATCTGATTTGTACAGTTCAAGTTGACATCAGGGGGTTTTCCAAAACCGCGCCCACGGAGGTCATATGTATATAAATGTGCAATGCAGTAGTCTAGCAAAAACATTTTGTTTAAAGATGGCTGAACAAATGGTAATGATGGAACTTCTAACAAGTGATTGTGGTAATGAGTGCAAAGGGATGTTAAAAGAGAAGTTGAAGAAAAAAATCGCGATTGTAATACCTAGCTTTTTTGCGATTGTACTTATTATTTCTTTGTGCATCACTGTCAGTGTTTTACACGAGAAGAAAAAACCTACCCAAGTAGACTGTGTTTTACGCCCTACATTGAAAAAAGATGTAATTAAAACATGTTCATACGTGGATCGGTACCCACTCTCCAACGAAGTATATGCCATGATATGTGCCAATGACACCATACAGGTTGACATACGACGATTTCAGTCTGGAAAACCGGGGAACGAAGGAATTACCTTGAGTAAAACACAGTGGCAGTACTTAAAAGCATCTGTAGATCATATGGATGGATCTATTTTAAAAGCACAAAATCATATATAAAGCGTTGCAGGAATAAAATGTAGAATTGTCAAAGAAGAAGGATAATGGACAAGACTGTGAAATTTTCAGACAAAAAAACGATCATCCTTATTCCCTATGAAGATCGGAAGGGAGAATGGATGACCATGGCTTTGGACAGATATCGATTTAAAAGAAGAATAAATCATGCATCAAAAATTTTAAGTCCTATACTGGAGAAACATTTACAAATAATAACTCAATCTCATGCACAAAACCTGGACACCCATTAAGATCTGTAATGCCAAAATATACAGCCAGCGTGTTTTACAGTCATCAAATTTCTACAGTCAGTTTAGAGAAAAGTCGCATTCTAAGGGGAGTCTACAGTCACTGACGTCATGGGGGAGTCTACAGTCACTGACGTCATGAGGGGAGTCTACAGTCACTGACGTCATGGGGGAGTCTACAGTCACGAGCCACGTGACTTAAATCATATATAAACTTGTAACATTTTGAAAATTTTCATCAGTCTTGAGCAAATCTCCTTGTGAGATCCTTATCGCAAACAAAGATGGAGCAAAAACATCAAGACGTGATTAAGTCAAACTACTCAACATTGGTGAAGAAAATGATGGCTGTTCCTGTTGCTGGGCATCTTTACGCCTCAAACATAATTACTGATGAAATGAGACAACAGATAGACGCTGAGAAAACCAGCTATGACAAAAACAGGAAATTGATCAGCATCATTTTACGTCGAGGTTCGAGAGCTTTTATGGGGCTTAGAACGGCATTGATGAAAGCCAATCAAGCTGACTTATCCCGACTCCTGATGAATAAGGATGATGACACAAAGTCTGAGTACGAAAAGAAGCTGGCCATGGCAAGATCATTAGTCGTCAGTACTAAAGAAAGAGGAGGTTCCAGAAACGAATCAAAGAAAGCTGATCATCAACAGTCTCAGGAGCCAAGATGTAGGATAAGTTTGGACGACTTTAATGATCTATTCCTCACCGTCATGCCTTTCAAGGGGGAGATTTACGTTCACATCCGTCACCTCGCAGAATCACATGGTCGTTTCATTGCCACCAAGAAGGGAGTTACCTTTCCTTTAGCCCGTTGGTTAAAGTTTGAATCTCTTTTACCAGATATTCAAGACTACATAGACAATACTGGAAAAGAGGATGAAGAAGCACAGTGGCATGTTGGTGGAGGTGTGTTCGTTTCATTATCACCAGGCTATCCGACAGTGGACATAAGACACTTCTGGAAGCCAGACAATGTTCAAGAACCTATACCTACAAGGAAAGGTGTTACTCTGAACAAAAACAAATTTGTCAGACCTAGAGATGTCATCGAGGAGATGCATGAATATGTTCCAGAACTAAAGGACGTTGAACTTTGCATGCTCAGTGAGTCTCATCAAAATCAACTTGGAATGTTAAGCTGTCCCGTATGGGAAAACCCATGACGTCATCCTGACTGTAGACTGACTGTTCTCTGTCCCCCTTACTACTAAGACATCACAGATAATCTCTGATTTCATATCATGCTAATAAAGATTAGATTCTAATTCTAGATTAATAGAAATTCATTTTCTCTTAACATGTATTTATTTTTGTACTTTGATGGAATGTAAGTGTCAACTTTTAAAAGGATTGTTTTAAAGACTTTAATGAACCTTAAATCTTTTTGTTTTGTTTGTTTGTTGTTCAACGTACCTCTCGAAAATTTTTCACTCATATTGGGACGAAACCACGGGACAATGGAAGGCTTCGAATTTAGACTTCTACTCGGCACTCAGGGTCATTGAGCAGTGAGGGATTCTTTTCGTGAGAGTACATTCGGCGACACAGGACCTTGGTTTAT